GGAAAAATACAGAAGCCGACGTGCCATATTGCTCATCTCTCTATTGATTTTGTGACACGCATCCGGAAGCTCCAAATGAAATATACCTTGAAACTCTCTATTTGTTTCATTAACTAATGGACGATAGCCAGGAACCAATCAAATGATAATGATGAAATGTCCAGAATACACTTGTGATAAATGTGAAATGTCTTTTATCTATTGATTCCTTTCAAACTAAAAGTTCTGTCACAAAGTATATCTAATGCAACTCCTCATTGCAGCTATAATGGTTTTATTTGTTATCATGTTCTAATGTTTTTGAGATGCATTTTTAACCTGATAACAGTAATCTCGATTAATGTATTAAGGAACCTTTCGTGAAAAACATTTATTGAAAATGCTACCGAAGAATCAAACAACTTTAAGATTTGGCTTCTGTGGTGGAATCATTCTAATATTTCACATAACCGTTAACGTACTTCTTGAATGTTGTCACGCCATTCATTCAGACAGATCTCGAAGATATGTTAATATCTATGCGAGGAAAGCGGATTAGATATCGCGAGGCCGGTTCACAATCCGTAAAAGCCTGTGATATGCCATGAATAGCCCATTGCATCTCCTGTACAAAGACTTTCTTTTGTACGTGTACGTGTTGTCACAGAGCCACAAACTTAGGTCAATGGATCAGATAAAATCAGGTTTGCTGGAATCGGTTGAGGTGAACTTCCCATGACATAAACTCCTACTTGACAACCGCTTTAAGAAAGTGCCGCCATTCATGTACACAGCCCTGTGGATGAATGAACGACCTAGCGAAGCCAGTAGCGCCACCTAGTGAGATGTAATGGAATAAGACCAACCCAGAGTTGAATCTTGACATACTCCGGTGCCATCTGCAGAACCTTGGTTAGCAATGGCACAGTAATTTATGAGAGTTTATGTGAGTCGGATTTTACGCCGCCTTAGCAATATTACAGCAATATCACGGTGGGGAATTCCAACATTGTGCCTATGACATGCAGAGAATCGAACCTGGACTTTCGGCACGAGGAGCGAACGCTTTTACCACTAGGCAAGGCCAGCGGCCTTGATCATATGATTAACCTAATGTGTTTTCATTTTTCAAATGTTAAAGTTTGCAATCACAGATAATATTTATCACCACTGTAAAATGCAAGGATATCAGCATATCATCACCATCACCATCATCACCATCACCATCATCATCATCATCGCCGTCACCATCATTATCATCACCACCACCATCAGCATCAGCATCGCCACCGGTATCGTTATCACAGGTATATACGGTACTCCACACACAGATTAACGAAGGGCATCTATTTGATCAGGGGTCATATAAATATCTATAACAGCTGTGTGTCAGTATATCCAGTTTCTGTCAGTGAAGAAAAATACCAAGTCGGTCAGCTGTGAACACGGTTCTTCAGCATCGGACATCAGCTGTCCTTGACACGCACATTTCAGCGCATTTGAAGCTACTGAGAATGCCCCCTGCAGAGTTGGACGAACATTCTGTGGTAGCGCTCGCGGCGGTGTTGACCAGAGGCTATCAGCAGTATTTCCTGTCCAGGTTATTTAGGTCCGTTGGGTGTGTGTGTGTGCGTGCTTACGCGCGCGTGTGTGTGTGTGTGTGTTGGGGGGGGGGGGGGGGGGGGGGGGGGCAGGGGAATAGATGATGGATTTAACAACAAGTAAGGTCATCTTAAGCGGGACGGTTTTCATAGGCAACAGATGGATTAGCATATGAACTATGATTCTCTGTAGGTAGAAAAAGATCCACGATGTTCGACCTGGTAGAAGTGTGTAATCAAACCGCACAGCATTGGTCTTTGATTGACTGTGGCGTCAAAACAAACTCATTCATGTACTTGATCTGAGTGTTCATCTTAATTGTTATGGATAGTCACGGAGCCGTGATCCAGAGAACAGGGTGTCATTAGATAAAAATGAAGTAATAATAGGATTACCAGAAAAACGGGGTATAACACCCAAGCCAATAAACTTCGCTCAGGAACACCAGAGTAAGTCAGTACAGGATTGAAAACTGCCTCATAAGTATGTATGACAGGCTAGTCGGGTATTGCTACTTGTATATGTGAAAACAAAGTTATTAAAATTAATAGCAAAACTGATGAAAGTCACCAATAAACGTGTATAAGTGTTATATCGTCACTGCAAAAATAATGAGTGTTGTTTTTAGTATTAACATTCAAATACGTGATATCTGTATTCGCGATATTGTCTACGTTCCACCGGTGAGGAAGCGTTAGCCTTACTATCTCGTAGTATAAATGTTTCAAGAAATTGTATTTCTGAAGATATCACGATAAAGTTTTTTTACGATGCATCACGTCTGCACCAGCGCGTGATAACAACCTTGTGTTTGGGTGTTTCAGTAGTTTAAATTGCTGTTCTTGATGTTGTTGAATAAACTTTGATACTATGAACAATATAAGGTTATATGAGAGTATAATATGATTTCATAAATAGAACAATGATTAGTACGTCCAGATTAGTGTATAGGCAACATTTAAAAGTAGATGAAAGAACACAATCGTCCGGAATACAATGTATAATTCTAGTGCACTTCCATGTGACTATATAGCATACAATAAGCTTCCAGGTCCCGTTTGGGTCGGTTTGGGTGGCAGCTTAGATATCCATAGAGTAGGTTACTTGTTTCTTTCAAAATTATACAGTTTTAGAAACTAAGTGAGTGAGTGAATATTGCTTAACGCCGCATCAGCAATTTTGCAGCTATTCGCGGCGATTTAGAGACTAAGCATTAGTCTGAATAGATATCACCAGTTTGGAATTTGAAACTAATCTGTTTACAGTAACAGAACACTGTTTAAGTGTCATGTACAAATGAGAAAGTGGAATCCCGTCAATTAGGCGGACGAACCTTAAAACTATTAATAAACATTAAAATAAGCAATATCGGGAAAATGTATATGCATATACTATCTGGCAATAAACACCAATATCACCTTCTACAAAAATAAGTTTTAAAAGCCGGTTGATATTCTTTTGCGTATTTGACGATCAATTACTTTCGAAAGTATAAATCCTTTTCCTATACTCAGACGTTCCTGAGCCTTGCGCTTTCCTAATTATTTTGACTAAAATTTTTACCGTTATCATTGTATTTGTTAATGGGAAATACGCGCCGATCAAGTACGTGCCATAAAATAAAGCGACATCGTACGATTCCGAACTCATCACGAGACTGTGTTTATGAATCACTGTCAAATAGTGGTGACATATGGTGGAAACAATGCGCGAAATCGCGCATGCACAGAACGGAACATTTGGACAAGGCATTAAGCAATCCGCATGTGCAGAACGATTGATTTCAGTACTACCGCTAAGCGCTTCGAGTACATCGTCAAACTCGGGCCTGTAATCTAACACGCGAGAACTGACCAATGAAATCTGAGAAGTAGGAATACCGAGGAATACCGGTAGACGCTGTTGCTTGATTGACAATGCCAATCATGAAAGTGAGGAACTTGATGATATCGTTCTCTCCCAGTAAATTCCGATGTCAAATAACGACGTTATTTGGACGGAAAAACGATGGTTTGAAAGCTTCCAAATAACGTCGTTTTCCCGTCCAATGACCATATACGGAAAAAAACGACGTTTTGCAGTGGGATACTGATATTTTTCTAACCTTGGAAAGCAACACAACCCATGAAATCAGTCACAATGTTTATGACAATACCAGGTGTTTGTGAAACCTGGTTTATCATCCAAAACAAGAGATATAGCTTGGGTGAAATTACATCACAATGCTTTACAGACCATTGTGGCGTCAATAATGGCAGTACTTTGTACACTTAAGACACTGCTAATTTACTGTCTACAAACTGAAAAAGTTGGAAGAATAATGTTGGATGATAAATAAAATCTCACCCTCGTGCCTTACAATTGTCCTCGTTGATATATTTGATATGAAAAGACACTCGTGTGAGATTCTCTATATATTGCATGATATCAATAGTGCATGAATTTCATGAGTTTTCATGAGGTTACAAGTTTAGGTCGAAAACTTGTGCACACGTAAATATGTGAATAAAACAATGGTCAAACACAGAGCTCTAGGTTTAAATCACGAAAGTCAATACGAAAGTATTGAAAGAGGCACGTGGAAGGAATCCGGTGTTATCAGATAGGTGTACCTCATGTATGTTTGTATGCTTATTTAAAAATGTGAACCCATTAAGACTCATCTCACCTAGACAAGGGAGCTAAGTGACTTTGAAAGTCACCAGTGGCTATTTTGAACTATGTCCCTTCTATATCCCTCTTATTGACCAATCAGGTTCCACCTCTCATGTAACTTGTATTTGCTTCAAACAAATCGTAATAAAACGGGTCTTACCTCGCTAAATTTATCATATCACTTAAGCACTTTGATAAAAAAAAACATGAAAAGACTGGGAAAATATCCGTCCAACCCCAGCTGATGGTACACCTGCTCTGCAAATCCTGCAATTGACTGAAATCTGCACGATAGTCGCCAAGTTGTTTATAAACCGGATGTCGATTTCGTTACTCTATTTTGACTGTACTATGCATATATTCATTAGTCCAGCATAAATTAAACTCCATTATTTTTTTAAATGTTTATAGCCAGAGATGACACATCTTCAATATTTTAAAATCACACATAAAACATGTAGAATACCGATGAAATTGTCTCTTAGTTTTCTATTGACTTTTAAATGACTGTTTTATTTCTGTCTCACAATAACCAAATCAGAATGAAACCGTTGAATGTAACGTAGAAGTCCATATATGACTGACATATAGCCAATGCGACATTAAATTTTGACTTTTCATTGGACAATCACTTTCTTTGATAACAAATAATTGAAAGAAAAAATAGGATTAACATGCTTAACATAACACATTGCTAGGAAACACATAGACACGAACGACTGTTTCGTAAATTTGTTAATGTAGTAAAATATCATTGCAGTTGAAGAATTGAGTGGCATCCACATCGAGGCACCTACCATTCTATGAGGACATAAAGAACTCGAGTAGAGGACCTTGGCAACCACGTGAACATGGCCAGTTCAGGTGTTGCCCATAAAGCCATCGGGAGTTCAGACGAGGAAGAGGAGGACCCTGGAGATAACACGGCCATTGCCAGACCGACTGAGGGTGGACCTGACCCTGGAGATAACACGGCCATTGCCAGACCGACAGAGCATGGACCTGACCCTGGAGATAACACGGCCATTGCCAGACCGACTGAGGGTGGACCTGACCCTGGAGATAACACGGCCATTGCCAGACCGACAGAGCATGGACCTGACCCTGGAGATAACACGGCCATTGCCAGACCGACTGAGGGTGGACCTGACCCTGGAGATAACACGGCCATTGCCAGACCGACAGAGCATGGACCTGACCCTGGAGATAACACGGCCATTGCCAGACCGACTGAGGGTGGACCTGACCCTGGAGATAACACGGCCATTGCCAGACCGACAGAGCATGGACCTGACCCTGGAGATAACACGGCCATTGCCAGACCGACTGAGGGTGGACTTGACCCTGGAGACCATACGGCAAATGCTGTATCAGGGAGTCAATCTTTCGTCTCCAGGCCAAGGCGTGGTATGTGTCCATAATCATTCTTCAACCCGTGATGTGTTTATAGGACTTTAATGAGCTTCGTGGGAGTGCTTTTCTTGATTATTATGCCTGGTATTCTCTCATCTTCCCGAGGCAAGAGAGTTAACTGACCTTAAAAGTCCAGTTTCCACACTTGCCAAACTAGGCTGGAATTACTGGGCTCGATCGTAGCGCTCCCAGTGGCTATTACCAGTTATGTCCTTTCTAAGCCTCACCTATGGACCAATCAAATTCCAACTCTCGTATCACTTGCGTTTGCTTCACACAAAATGGTTGCGCCCGGTCAGGACGATCTGATCGATAATCAAGATCTATATTGTCTTACATCGCGAAATGCATCAAATCACGTGAGCACCTCAATTAAAAACATTAGAAGATTTGGAAAATATCTTCTGACAACGAGTTGGCGGTGCACATGCTTTGCAAATCCTGTAATCGACCGAAATCTGAACGACAGTTAACAAACCGGCTTTCGATTTCGTTGCGCGATTTTGATTGGACTATGCATAGACATGTTAGTCCAGCCAAAATGTAACTCCATAATACCAGCCTAGTTCGGCAACGGTGGAAACTGGACTTTTATAGTCAGTTAACTCTCTTGCCTGGGGAAGATGGTATTCTCTTCATTCGTTTGATCACTACATGTATTTGAAAGTTGTGCCAAGGCCACTTGACATCCCGTGTATGTGTGACAAATGAGAGGCATGAATGAAATGGTGCCAGTGTCTAAACTCTTTCTTTGAGCAAACTGTATAAGACTAATGCTGAGCTATTATTCCAAACATTCCAAATTTTATACAATTGGAAGGTTCCAGGATAATTAAGAAATGGGTCAATCTTTCATTTTACTGGCTTGGCATCAAACATTCAGTTCTTATGCTGATTAACAAATAGCACGGACATATGCATACCTCTTTGTTTAACATTAATTACCAATATAACATTAACACACTTTGCACATTGAATGAAAGATATAGCAGTGGATTCGCGTTACTGATTAAAAATGTCATAAAACAGAAGTTTTGAATTTCCTTGGATCAATACGCAAACGTTACATGGACAGCATCTTACTGCTTTGGGTGCAATGGCATCGATTATCTAGCAAAAGATACACCTACTACCATGGTCCCATTTGAGGTATACATGCAATATAGAAAGGTACAGTTTTTCCATTTTGTATCAAACTATGGAGTTGGTTATTGAACATCATCGTTGATTTGTTGCCAGGTGGTCCAGCCAGGGGCATCATTGTAGCCAACTCGAAGTACGTCAACATCTCCACTGGGCAGATGGTACCGGGGACTGTCGGAGAAGGTGAGTAAATGTACAAGATCTAGTCCTAACATCATGACACCTACAGCTTCAAAACTTCAGGGGACAGTTCCTTAGTTCATATCCATGATCTAAATGTAAAACCTCCAAAGCCACAATGAGCACGTGGGAATCCAGGTAAAATATACTAGCCACATAAAGAAACTGTGCACGGAGAAAATATATTCTGGATTGAAATACAACACAGCAAGAACAAAATGATGCAGACGCTGTAGCAGCTGAGTGATCGAACCATAAGAAAATGTCAACGGGACCTGAACAACATCTGTTACGATGACGTCAGAAGATCAAATGGAGTAGGGGGTCAAACGACAAAGTCACAAAGTCAATAACGGGTATGACCACCCTGTGCGTGAATCACAGCAGTGCATCGGCGGCGCATGGAGTCCACGAAATGGGCATGGAAGGCCTGGGAAATGGCCTGCCATATCCCCCTCTAATCCTGAGGCAAGTCACGGACGTTATCTGGAGGATATGGTAGACGACGCAGACGGCGTTCCATTTCATCCCACACATGCTCTATTGGGGAGAGATCTGGAGAAACTGCAGGCCATGGCAGTAACATGACATTGTTATGGTGAAGGAAATCCATTGCGACCCTAGCCGTGTGAGGACGAGTGTTGTCCTGTTGAAATGTCAATCCCGGGCCATGACGTTGCAGGAAAGGAATGACCACAGGCCTCAGAATCTGATCTCTGTAGCCAACACCGGTGAGATTGCCCTGAACAACCACCAAAGGGGTTCGGTGCCGTGCTGTTATCCCACCCCAAATCATCACAGAGCCACCTCCAAAACGATTCCTCTCCACAATACAGTTGCGTGCATAACGTTCTCCCAAACGCCGGTAGACACGTTGGCGCCCGTCACTGTGGGAAATGTTGAACCTCGATTCATCTGTAAAGACAACATTTCTCCACCATATTCGAGGTTGGCGAACATGATTTCGACACCATCTTAGACGGTTGACTCGATGACGGTGTGTCAGAATGGGACGTATGGCAGGGCGTCGTGGTCGAATCCCGTACTGACGTAAACGATTCCTGACAGTGTTGGGATGGATACGGCGCAGTCCAGGAATTGTCTGGGACGTCGTTACTGCCGTTTGGAACCTGTGTCGGAGATGTGTAACTCGAATCCATCTGTCCTGTCTTGGCGTCGTTACTCGGGGACGTCCTGAACGTGGGTGGTCGGCAACGTCATTTGTGTTCTGATAACGCCTCACCAATGCCGATGTCGTGTTACGATGGCATTGGAAATGTGTTGCCACCTGTTGTTGCCTCATTCCCGCTCGGATCATTCCAATGGCTTCATGACGCTGTGCAGCTGTCAATCTTGGCATGATTTGCTTGTGATATGCTTGTGTCTGCGCCTGAGAAGTTTTGAATTTTTGAATGACCACAGATCATGCTTTCCAAAGTGACAGCGAATTTTGAGTTGCACATGCTGTGTACAGCTGCACAGGATGCACGTGCAGTAACACATTGCACGTCCATAGGCCCCCATCAATGACGTCATATCGAATGGCACGTGCATGAGCGTTTGAATGTCTCCAATAATTGCTGTGTTCAAACCTATATTTCATATATGGACGGTGTGCCCTTATATCTATATTTTCTCCGTGTACAGTTTCTTTATGTGGCTAGTATATGTGGATCGTTGCTCATAATATGAATTACTGGATTGACTCGAACATTTACTGGCCGGTCATAATGTTGCTGGAATATTGCTGCGTTAAACAACAAACACACACGCAGATATTTGTTTAAGCATTTGTAGAGCTGTGATGCACAGGGTTTTTATTAATGTGATCGGAACATTAAAGAATTCTTAGTCAAGTCTTCTCAAGTTATGGATGAAATATTTGATAAATTGTCCAGAATATGACTAATAATAAATTGTTCTACTTTATGTTTTGCCTTAACCAATTGGCCAATTACCAATCAATGTGATAAATCTCAGTATATTCATCAACGTTCATTAGTTTATGTCCCATATATGCATATACAATATCTTGTTTGTCCATAGATACTCTCGAACTACGCCTTAGAGAAGCAAAGAAAATATTTGTTAAAACGGAAATCTTCAGAACAGTGAAGCGAAAAGTAAAGCAGTTTGGTCATGTGACCATCTATGGTGCCTCTGGAGAAGGGAAGACAACGATGGCTCTGATGTTGGGTTCACGTTATAGAAACCGAGGTTACCAGGTCGTGTTTGTGGACAGCATTGAGAAGTTTGACTTGGACAGCTGCCTCAGTTCTACACCAAGAGTATTTCTTATCATTGATGACTTGTTTGGCACAGTTGGTTTGTCCACCAATGTTCAACTGATTAAAACATTTCTAAACGATCTTATTCTCCATATAGACCTCTGCAAACAGTCCCATGAACAAATGCTGTCAGTTTGGCAAGATGGAGGTAAGTCCAATCATGATGACAAGAGTAAAGGCCCAACAAAGGACATTCGTGTCATTTTCACATCAAAGTCATACAACTTTCATGATGGACTTGCACAACTGCACTCTGCGTCTATTTCACTGTTTGGGGAACAAACAATTATGAATATCACTTTACATGATGTAAACTGTCTTTCTCCAGCAGAGAAACAGGAAATATATGAGAGACATATGAGCATGCTAGATGGATGCTCCAAAGCTGACTTACCTGAATACAATGATTTGGAAACAGATTCAAAACTATTTGGATTTCCCCTTATATGTAAACTTGCTTCTTTTTCAAAAAATGTCAGAAAGCTTTTCAAGGAACCCTTGTCTTATTTGAGGGAGGAACTCAATGACATAATTACTTCTAAGAATGATAGATCTGGTGTGTTAGTCCTGATGTTATTGTGTGAAGACAGATTAAAATTGACAAAGTTAGAAAGCGAGGATGAGGACCAGGACGTGGATACGAAAGTCAAACATGTGATAGGTCTCATGCCTATCGCTACACGCTCTGGGATGTGCCAAGCAGCAAGACATTTCCGAGGTACATACTTCACAAGAGGAGACACTGTAGGCTTTGCTCATTCTTCAATCTATGATGCTTGTGCCTGTGTCTTATATAACATCAATCCAAGTTTTGTTTTGAAGCATTGCAGTGAAGACTTTCTGTACGAGTGTATACAACAAGGAACAGTACAAGAAACCAAAGTTGATGAACATCTTCAGGTGATTTCCGTTTCTGAAGAGTATCATGATCTTCTTACCACACGGCTTGCAAATTCTCTAAAGCAAGGAAATTTTTCTAAGTCAGTAACACATCCAATTCTTAAGCAAGACAAACTAGCTAAACAACTTCTTGAAAGATTACACTTTGATGGGACGAAACATGATTCCACAGGCAATGCCTGGTTTCATCAAAGAGAAAAAGGAAAATGTGTTTTGTATTGGGCTGTTCTTGGACATAATCCATGTTTGGTTACAAATGTTGAGAACCAAACTGGAGAAGTGTTTACACAAGACGAGATCAGAGAGGGTATGGAAGGTTGTGCCCAAACAAACAACCTGACATTACTAAAATGGCTACTCTCCAGGAGTGATGAGCATGACCGGATTAACAGACTGAACAGGCTCATGTTGTCAGCAGCAGAAAATGGAAGTACTGAAACACTGTTGTATCTGCTGAAGGAAGGAGCGAAACCCCATACTTGTGACTCGATGATGCAAAACATCTTCCATTTGGTATGTAAATCACGACATGAAAACACACTCCAGGCACTGCTAAATGTATCGGTAAACAAGCATGTTATAGATAGTATTGATATTAATGGCCACACCCCTCTAATGGTTGCAGCCATGAAAGGATCAGAGGAGTGCTTCAAGTTGTTAACACCATTCTCAAATATTGGTGTTCAAGACATGTACGGAAATAGCCTAATTCACCTTGCTTGTCACGGAGGAAACATTTCCATTGTTAGACACCTGCTACCATCCTTTGACATCAACAAAGCTGGAGTGAAGGGATGGACACTGATAATGGTTGCAGCTGTCACTGGACAGAAAGATGTGTTTGATCTCCTGAAATCAAAGGAGGCGGACCTATCGCTGTTTGATACAACTGGTGCTAGTTTACTCCATCATGCCTGTCAGGGAGGCAACATGGCTATTGTACAACATCTCCTGTCAGATTCTGACATCAACAAAACAGGACTGCATGGATGGACACCGATAATGGTTGCAGCTCTCTTTGGACACAAAAGAGTGTTCAACATTCTAGAATCAAAGGGAGCGGACTTATCGCTGTTTGATACAACTGGTGATAGTTTACTTCATCTTGCATGTCAGGGAGGCAACATGGCTATCGTACAACATCTGCTGTCAGATTCTAACATCAACCAACTGGGAATGGTAGGATGGACACCAATAATGGTTGCAGCTATCAAAGGACACGAAAGAGTGTTAGATCTCCTGGAATCAAAGGGGGCGGACCTATCGCTGGTTGATACAACTGGTGATTGTTTACTTCATCTTGCATGTCATGGAGGCAACATGGCTATCGTACAACATCTGCTGTCAGATTCTAACATCAACCAATTGGGAATGGAAGGATGGACACCAATAATGGTTGCAGCTGTCAAAGGACACCAAAGAGTGTTAGACCTCCTGGAATCAAAGGGGGCGGACCTCTCTCTTGTTTCTTCATCTGGTAGTAGTTTACTTCATCTTGCCTGTCAGGGAGGCAAAAAGTCAATGGTACAATATCTTTTGTCAGATTCTAACGTCAACAAAACACGAATGGATGGATGGACACCGATAATGGTTGCAGCTGCCAGTGGACACAAAGGTGTGTTTGATCTCCTGGAATCAAAGGGGACGAACCTGTCGCTGATTGATGCATCTGGTGCTGGTTTACTTCATTTTGCCTGTCAGGGAGGCAACTTGGCTATTGTACAATATCTGCTGTCAGATTCTAACATCAACCAAAGAGGACTGCATGGATGGACACCAATAATGGTTGCAGCCTTCCTTGCTCACAAAAGAGTGTTTGACTTCCTGGAATCAAAGCGCGCAGACCTCTCTCTTGTTTCTCCATCTGGTGCTAGTTTACTTCATCTTGCCTGTCAGGGAGGCAACATGGCTATTGTACAACATCTCCTGTCAGATTCTAACATCAACAAAACAAAAATGGATGGATGGACACCGATAATGGTTGCAGCTGCCAGTGGACACAAAAATGTGTTTGATCTCCTGGAATCAAAGGGGGCGGACCTATCTCAGGTTGATATAGATGGAAATAGTTCACTTCATCTTGCCTGTCAGGGAGGCATCAAAGGTATCATATTACATCTTTCCCGTCTATTATGTCACAGAGACGTCGATGAATACATGTGATGTAGTTCACCTCAACTCAAGGCCTCCACAATCTATATGATTCATCTGGAAACCGTTTATCTCCATCGCCCCAATTCCGTCTAAAATGGAGCCACAGTAATTCATCTTGCCTGTCAGGGAGACAACATGGCTGAAACATCTGCTGTCAGATAAACTTGGAAAACTTTAGTTACGTTTTGTGACGTATAGGGTGCCTAGTTTCCAAGGGGCAAAGAAAGCATTCTGCATGAAAGTATCTGTTAAGCATGAAACGGAGGGACGTTTTTCATTCTCTATTGCAATTGCCATGGATTGTTGAGACAGCAGACCCGCCCCTCAAGGAAATTTGACACGGGTCAGTCAGTATCGACAGTGGAGCCCTTGGTTTGGTAGCAGACATTCCAACTTGAGAGACTTCAGGCCGAGAGAGGGTGGTGGACACTGAGTACAGAGGTTGTGCCTGAGTGAATGAGATACTTCAGGCCGACAGAGGGTGGTGGACACTGAGTACAGAAGTTGTGCCTGAGTGAATGAGATACTTCAGGCCGACAGAGGGTGGTGGACACTGAGTACAGAAGTTGTGCCTGAGTGAATGAGAGACTTCAGGCCGACAGAGTGTGGTGGACACTGAGTACAGAAGTTGTGCCTGAGTGAATGAGAGACTTCAGGCCGTCAGAGCGTGTTGGACACTGAGTACAGAAGTTGTGCCTGAGTGAATGAGATACTTCAGGCCGACAGAGGGTGGTGGACACTGAGTACAGAAGTTGTGCCTGAGTGAATGAGAGACTTCAGGCCGACAGAGGGTGGTGGACACTGAGTACAGAAGTTGTGCCTGAGTGAATGAGAGACTTCAGGCCGACAGAGTGTGGTGGACACTGAGTACAGAAGTTGTGCCTGAGTGAACGAGAGACTTCAGGCCGACAGAGGGTGGTGGACACTGAGTACAGAAGTTGTGCTTGAGTGAATGATCAGTGAAGTGCATTTGCCAGACTGATGTTGCGTTTTAATGTTTCCAAAGTGTACTTACTTAACTGATGTTACGTACTGGTGAATGATTCTAAAGTGTATTTACTGAACTGATGTTGCGTTTAGATGAATGTTTCCAGAGGGTATTTACTGAACTGCTTTTTCATACAATTGAATGCTTCCAAAGTGTGTTTACCGATTTGACGTTGCGTTTTGGTGAATGTTCCCAAAGCTTATCCACTACGCTGATGCTGCGTGCTCGTGAATGCTTCCAATGTGTACTTTTTCATAGTGTATTTACTGAACTGCTGTTGCATACTAATGAATGTTTCCAAAATGTATTTACTAAATTGATGTTGCGTTTCAGTGAATGTTTCGAAAGTGTATTTAATGGACTGATGTTGCAGTCATGCACTGTAGCGTACAACTGCTGTTCCATTTCCGTGATTGTTTCCAAAGTATATTTAGTAACTGTTGATGTGTTTTGGTGAATCTTTGCGAAGCTGCTTGCTTCCAAAGTGTATTTAGGACACTGGCACGCCAGAAACCTATGATCACGGGTTTGAATCCCGGTGCGCTTTGATTATGTTTCAAACTGATGAATGCCTCCAAAATGTATTTACTGAATTGATGTTGCATTTTCGTGGATGTTTCTGAAGTGTATTCACTGAATTGATGTTGCGTTTTCGTGAATGCTTCTAAAGTGTATTTACTGAATTGATGTTGCGTTTTCGTGAATGCTTCTAAAGTGTATTTACTGAATTGATGTTGCGTTTTCAAGAATGCTTCTAAAGTGTATTTACTGAATTCAGAGTTCAGATGACATGATTGTGTGAGTCATTTAATCAGCTAAACCTGTACTCAAGTAGAACTAGTTTGTAGACACGTGTTAGAGAAAACTAGCTTTACTTAAATAAATAGTTAAACAATCTTGTTTGGGTTTTCATTACACTGAATCTAGCAGTGAAATTTTGATGCACAGCATGATGATATATTTCCTCTCGGGAAATCTATCAGAGGTATGGCCTACAGTATTCCGGGCATGATTAAAAGAGGACAGCGTTCCTGCTGCTTTCATGGCAAATTATACAGTGCAAGACGCGGCGATGGAAATCATAAAAAAATAGTCGATCATGAGCATGTGTTTAGGAATCACTATCAGATCGTAATGATAACAGGTGTTCGCGAAAAGGTGAGCGTATCCTTCCCCATCGGTGGCATCTGTCACAAACACATGCAAAGGCAAGTAAATTGTTCACCTGAAAAACACGGGGATATATGGTGCAAGTCAAAATAATGAATTTTTTCGGACATAATTTTTGTCACTGATGCCTCGAAGTTGGAAATGTACTCCACTTGTCTCCCATAAAACTTGTTGAAAGCTTTACTGTGGCTTTCTTTGTTGTAATCTTGATCAACCAACTTCTGATGAAGAGTCGTATGACGCTCTTTTAAAGAGCATGCACGATCGTATCTCAAACGTTGCCAAATATAAACACCAACGGCTGGAGCTCCTGGAATATTGCTCGACATGAAGGGGAAGTTGTCTATAGGAAAGTTAAAGTCATCCCTCTTGTCCTACAGTTTTGTGGAGAGTGATCTGTCACTCTAAATCTTTATGCATAGATCTAAATATGAAACAGGAGGAGGTAAAGTTAACCCCTGTGAAGTGCTGTGTCAAAGTCAGGATTGTCTGTGATCAAAAGATAGATCAGTCGGACTGTGACAATGTAAATATTATTTCAAACAAAACCAGTTTTGGGCGTAACAATGTACAGGCAAATTAACAATTGCCTGCACATATTGTTTCTCTCTGCCTTAGGCTGCCTCCATCGGTAAGTGCTCTTTATAATCCAAGGGAAGCTACTCTAATCAGTGTAACGTCATGTTAGTTTAAAGTCTGCCAGACATATCCCAACATTACAAATGCAGAGTCAGGATTAATTGAAACAAATTGCCACATTTCTATCAAATCTAATTGTTTTAATGTTTGGGGAAAGACCCGAGCCGCAGAGGTCTACAAGCACAGATGTACAACTGATCCTGCTAGGCTTCTGTCTCAGCTAAGTTGTTTTGCAATTTATGTCTCCAAGGGTAACACACTTGTTAAATGCCTCAGCTAAGTTCCAGTTAGACAGTGATCTTCAGTATGTCAGACTATTGTTTTGATATCCCAGTAATAAAAGTTTAACTGTTAATATTTTTCAGTTCTATTTCAGACGAAGGACAGTAAATATTCAATTATGTCACAGATTCAAATAACACACACTTGTACAATTCTATAGACTGACATGAGGATGACTACCAAAGCTAGATCATCTTCGAGGGCGTCGTAAACTGCCATTACCAGGGGCGTATTCATAGCAAATCTTAGAGTGCTTTATAAAAATTCTAGAACATACCAGAAGTTATTTTTCTTGAGTCAATTCCATAAATACAATTATGAATTGTGTTAGTCAATGTATCATAATTCTGAGATTGCTTTTGGAATCTTCATGAATGCGGCCCCCGGCTGTCTACGGGTGGTTGTTCTACCCCCTGAGCCTAACTATAAAGAGTGATACATAGCGCCGAGGTACTGTTGTCACAGCTACATTATCAGTCTGTAAAGTCTTTAAAGTAATGACGTTAATAAAGAATGTACCTTCTGAGTGAGCTTAAAGTATTAACTTGAGCCATCAATACATTGTTGAATGCATTTTAAAGGAACAATGCTTTGATACCAAACATGTATACAAAATATCAAAGAAGATTACTTAATCTTGATCGTACTTATGGCCACCTGTAGGAGGATAAGTTACCCCATGTTTGATGTGAGTGTACACTGTCGACGCATTGTTGATATCACTTTATACCAACAATGTAATGATTACAAACACACATGTATCATAATTATCACCTGGATGTCACAGGTGCAGATTGATCGTTTTCTAAAATCGTCAACTCTGGCCATTGTCGAGGGAAGATGAAAAATGCTTGGTTGTAGATATTCTCATATAGATTTATGTCAAGAAGTAGAAAGTCAATCGAGGACGTTGACGCAAAATCAGCCAAGTGGCACTTTGTAATCACCCGATGGCCATTAGTCGGCGCATGACACAACCACGAAGTGACTGTTCTCACTGGAATACCCAAGAGGGTCCTCACTAATGTCTACTTGTCTTTACAACTTCTCCTCTGAAACCATTCCAATAATGAAGTCTAACAATCGTGTCAAAAAATTACAATCGTTACGGAAGCCTTAGTCTTCCGACCGTTTTGTTTATTGATACTTTATATATGCTAGTCTATCATGCCCGACAGGAGACACGACTGTACAAACTGAACAGCATGTTTGTTTGAAGACACGTGTTCATTCAATCATGTGATCACATTCTTTATAATTTCTGTTCCTTTCACAGTTCGTTTTGCATTGATACGTAATGTAATTGCATACAGCTGAACTTTGTTTAATTTGGTGTCGTGAGAGTTCAACCAAACTTAGAAGTAATATAAGAGCACTGGGACACTTTAATCTTGTGATGATGTTCACATTGAGCTTTGATCGAAACCCCCCTGAAAGTAAAGTCAGCCATCTGTTTCAATGAGAAAGACTTGGTACATGTTAAAACAAGATTGTCAGTGCCAGGTGTGGAGTCACATGGACTCGACCACGAATGAGTGTTTCACAAAAGGCAATAACGGTCATGCGCATGAGGATATTACTCTGGTAGGAGATGTAAGCACACAAGATTTATTGAAAAAAATGACTGCGAAGATTATTTTCGTTGAAGATTAAGAGGATTTCCAATAATGTCTGACATTTTGAAAGCGATGTTCGTTGTTCTGGTCATGTTGACCGGTGTATTTATAAGTATTCATGGAAGCAGTATGTGTGTGGATGAGGTTTTTCACCTGATATTCAGAGACAAATCCGCCACAGATTACGTTGTAAGTGGGAAGACGGTGCCAAGTCGGGCGGAGTGTTCTGTCCTGTGTCATCAAGAGGAAGGGTGTGTGTCTATGGCGTATTCAGACTCAGGAGAGTGTGTCCTCCACGGCGAGTTGCCACAGACTCTGACAGTGGTCAGCAAACAGGACACTGACATCTACTACCGCCAAGGTAAGATATACCTGACACTGACATCTACTACCACCAAGGTAAGATATACCTGATACTGACATTTACTACCGCCAAAGTAAGATATACCTCACACTGACATCTACTACCGCCAAGGTAAGACATACCCCACTCTGACATCTACTACCACCAAGGTAAGATATACCTGACACTGACATCTACTACCACCAAGGTAAGATATACCTCACACTGACATCTACTACCGCCAAGGTAATATATACCTTACACTGACATCTACTACCACCAAGGTAAGATATACCCCACACTGACATCTACTACCACCAAGGTAAGATATACCTCACACTGTCATCTACTACCGCCAAGGTAATATATACCTTACACTGATATCTACTACCGCCAAGGTAAGATATACCTGACACGGTCATCTACTACCACCAAGGTAAGATATACCTTACACTGATATCTACTACCGCCAAGGTAAGATATACCCCACACTGACATCTACTACCGCCAAGGTAAGATATACCCCACACTGACATCTACTACCACCAAGGTAAGATATACCTGACACTGTCATCTACTACCGCCAAGGTAATATATACCTTACACTGACATCTACTACCACCAAGGTAAGATATACCCCACACTGACATCTACTACCACCAAGGTAAGATATACCTCACACTGTCATCTACTACCGCCAAGGTAATATATACCTTACACTGACATCTACTACCACAAAGGTAAGATATACCCCACACTGACATCTACTACCACCAAGGTAAGATATACCCCACACTGACATCTACTACCACCAAGGTAAGATATACTCCACACTGACATCTACTACCACCAAGGTAAGATATACCTCACACTGTCATCTACTACCGCCAAGGTAATATATACCTTACACTGACATCTACTACCACCAAGGTAAGATATACCTGACACTGACATCTACTACCACCAAGGTAAGATATACCTCACACTGTCATCTACTACCGCCAAGGTAACATATACCTGATACTGACATCTACTACCGCCAAGGTAAGATATACCCCACACTGACATCTACTACCGCGAAGGTAAGATATACCCCACACTGTCATCTACTACCGCCAATGTAATATATACCTTACACTGACATCTACTACCACCAAGGTAAGATATACCTCACACTGTCATCTACTACCACCAAGGTAAGATATACCTCACACTGGCATCTATTACCGCCAAGGTAAGATATATCTCACACTGACATCTACTACCACCAAGGTAAGATATACCTGATACTGACATCTACTACCGCCAATGTAAGATATACCTCACACTGACATCTACTACCGCCAAGGTAAGATATATCTCACACTGACATCTTCTTCGGCCTAGGTAAGATATACCTCACACTGACGTCTACTACCACCAAGGTAAGATAGATATATCTCACACTACCATCTACTACCACCAAGGTAAGATATATCTCACACTGACATCTACTACCGCCATGGTAAGATATACCTGCCACTGACATCTACTACCACCAAGGTAAGATATACCTTACACTGACATCTACTACCACCAAGGTAAGATATACCCCACACTGACATCTACTACCGCCAAGGTAAGATATACCTGACACTGACATCTACTACCACCAAGGTAAGATATACCTCACACTGACATCTACTACCACCAAGGTAAGATATACCCCACACTGACATCTACTACCGCCAAGGTAAGATATACCCCACACTGACATCTACTACCACCAAGGTAAGATATACCCCACACTGACATCTACTACCACCAAGGTAAGATATACCCCACACTGACATCTACTACCACCAAGGTAAGATATATTTCACCCTGACATCTACTACGGCCTACGTAAGATATATATCACATTGACATCTACTACCGCAGTGTAATATATCGTAAGTATAATCTTCAAATTGTTTCAGATTATTTTGATATGTAGTGTTGCTTCTGTTGTTTGAACAAATCGGGATGTAGTTGCAGACTAACTACAAGTAGGATATATTTTTTTATCAAAACAGGTGCAGTGCCCTTCTCGACAACAACAATGGCACAGACAACGACACCTACTGCAACTTTAACGCTCCTGACAACGACTGAAGGTAATAACAACCTTTGTGACTGATGTACATGTAAATTCTGAAGCGATGTTTTTACGTTTACAAGTTACAAATACCAAAAGTTCTTGTAAATTCTGACATATTGACTTCTACGCCCTAGAACCTGGAACTTTGGGTAGAAGTGTTATTGGCAAAGAGGCGCTTTCATTATTAGTGAGTTTCTCCCGAATTGGGTCGTATATGTAATGTTTTCTGAACGAAAAATAGTAGGAAACATTTAATGATTAGTGACATTAGTGACGAGAACGAAAATTGAAATGGGTAAATTATTGATCTCCCAATGGTGACCAGACCGAAAATATTGATTGGACCAATTTATATAGCTCAATTTTAAAGAATAACAATCGGTATTTCATACTAACATAGATCCAAAGATTAGTTTTGTGTCCTGTGTTCCAAATGTCAATTCCAATTGGTCGGTCATCGTTTCTTTGAACCACATTCAGCATGCCAAGGAAACAATTCTTTGTTTTGTAAAATCTGAGGCAAGATTATTTTGTCAAGTCTTCTCTGGAAGGAACAATTTAAATTTATGAAATATTAACAATCGAAAATATCGCCTTCCACATTATAACCTAAAACACTAAACTAAATTCCGTCACAAATAATAACAATGATAACAATGAAATGCTTGTGAAACGCATAGATGTTTCGTCTACATCAACCGTCAATGCTGCAACTCCACTGACTGCATCAACTGCGACAACGCCAACAACGATGACAACTGCATCATCTGTGACACCTCCAACACCAATGACAACTGCATCAACTGTACCGACTACAACAACCCCGGCAACCGCCAGTACAACAACGGAAACCATGACGACCGCCATCACAACCGCCACCGCCGCCACTGCTCCTACGAGTGTTTCTTCCACTACTACTGCAACTGCTTCACCTACGACGACTACTACTACTACTACCCAATCTCCTACTTCTGCCACTATCACTTCTCTATCTCCATCTCTATCTAGTACAGCTGCTACTTCTACTACATCTACTACTACCACTACTACTACCACCAGTCCATCTACAACTACATCCACTACCACGACAACACCAACAACGACCACTTCGTTAACGACTACTATTACTGTTTCTTCTACTGTTTCTTCTACTACTACTACTACTACTACTACTACTACTACTACTACTACAACTACTACTACTACTACCACTCCATCTACAACTACAAGTACATCCACTACCACGACAACATCAATAACGACGACTACGGAGGCTACATCACAAGGTATGAAACCTGTCTGTCCTGATGAATCCTCCAAATCTGAAGCAACTGAGATCGCATAAGATATTGATAACTGGAAACGAAACAGGGTGGTGACGATATGAAATATATCTCGGGATTGATCAGTCGTGTATCTGTGATCATAATCAGTCACTCGCCGAGTGAGTGAGTGAGTATCCTTTTACGCCTCTTTGAGTAATATTCCAGCACTATCACGGCAGGGGACACCAAAAATAGGCTTCACACATTATACCCATGTGGGGAATCGAACCCGGGCCTTCGGCGTGACGAGCGAACGCTTTAATCACGAGGCCCGTCACTCGTCGAGACAGACCAGGTAGCTTTTTTAATATAGAAAGTCACACATCCAAATTATCTTTTTCTCTCAAACCGTTGTACATTGCACTGTCCAGTGCAAAAGAATCTTCCCAAGGCGAGAGAATTAACTGACTTTAAAAGTCCAGTTTCCACCCTTGCCGAACTAGGCTTGAATTCCTGGGTTCGATCGTAGCGCCACCAGTGGTTATTATGAGTTATGTCCCTTCTGAGCCTCTCCTATGGACCAATCCGATTCAATCGCTTGCATTTGTTTCAAACAAAATGGCGGCGCCCAGTCAAGACGATCTGATCGATAATCAAGATCTATATTGTGATAAAACGGGTGTTACATCGCGAAATGCATCAAATCACGTGAGCATCTTGATTAAAAACATGAAATGATTTGGAAAATATCTGCTGACGCCAAGTTGGTAGTTCACAAGCTTTTGAATTCCTGCTGTCGACCGAAATCTGCATGCCGATTACGTTACACAGTGTTGATTGGACTATGCATAGACTTGTTAGTCCAGCCAAAGTATAACTCAATAATACCAGCCTAGTTCAGTAAGGGTTGACACTGGACTTTTTAAGTCAGTAAACTACCTTTCCTCGGCAAGACGGCCATACACGTGAGCATCTTGATTAAAAACATGGAATGATTTGGAAAATATCTGCTGACAACGAGTTAGCGGTGCACATGCTTTGCAAATCCTGCAATCGATTGAAATCTGCACGACAGTTTATGAACCGGATTTCGATTTCGGTGCGCGATTTTGATTGGACTATGCATAGACTCGTTAGTCCAGCCAAAATGTAACTCCGTAATGCCAGCCTAGAGTGGAAACTGGACTTTTAAAGTCAGTTCACTCTCTTGCCTCGGGAAGATGGTGCAAAAGGGGAGGGAGGGAGGGAGATAGCGAGGGAGGGAGTTTTAACCATTGGTTAATTAAACAATATTCCAGCAATATCATAGGAGATATAGGGGACACCCCAAAGGGGCTTTACATCTTACATGGGGGAAAAGGCACCCGGGCCTTCGGCGCGAAGAGCGAACACATTACCACCCCTGTTTACAATGACTAATATTCATATTTGGTACTAACGATAACATGTTGTAGTGGATGTAGTTGTAGTTGATGTAGTTGTAGTTCCCCGCACATGATTCATCTGACCTCGTCCTTATTGTAGAGGTGGAACTGTGGGCGACAGCTGTGCTGGACTACTCGTCACAGGACAACTCCGGAGACAAGTAACTACCGTATTCGACGCAATAAGCGCCCAGGGCGCTCTCAAAATTAGAAATAGGGGGCTCTTATTAGAATATAATTTTGATGAGAAAAGTTGAAAGATTGTTAATTTCGTAGTTTATGCTGTCAGCCTGAAAGGACACAAAAGAAAAGTATGTGCGTATCATACACGACAGATATATTTTCCAGAATTTAATTGCCCATATTTAAGGGTGCATGTAACACACGAGTGTGTATTGTACACGAATAAGTCTTGTGTACATTGATCAATCGGAAGGGGTGCTAACTGGGATTGTTCATTAGCCAATATATTAGAAACTATCGCCGTGGGCGCTTATTAGAGTTGTGCGCTTATTACGTCGAATACGGTACTTTTTATCTTCGTCGATTTCAATAACAAACAATACATTTATTTTCGGGTTACGGAGTCGTCCGACTAAAGACACATGGCAACATCAAGACATTATTTGGATTTGCTCTATTGCTGATTATTACCACACAAAAAAACAAATCCAGCTGCAAAAATGATGAAATATTAAAGTAACCCTTCGATTTCTCGTCAGATTATATATGTTTTCGGACATCATACGTTTTCGGAAGGCCATGTTTATCGCGAGTACTCCCGTTTATACGAGGGTTGTGGCGTCACAACGACATTGTAAATACTCAGATGATGGCTTGATTTTAAGAATGTTCTGTCTTTCATAGTGAGTTAGTGAGTATGGTTTTACGCCGCTTGTAACAATATTCCAGCAATATCACGGCGGGGGACACCAGAAATGGGCTTCACACATTGTACCCATGTCGGGGCTGTCTTCTATAAGTGAGTGAGATGTACGGTTCTTGTGATTAGCGAATGTTTCTTAAGCCACTCAATATATATATATAGTAAACGTACCACAAGTAAGCATTGTGATCATGAATTTTAACAATATTAACAAATAAGTTCCCGAAGAAAAATTATCGGTCCAATCAAATTCATGCAAATTAATTACATAAAGACCGAGTTCGACTTATATTGAATAATATTGTTGCGGGTCCAGCCACAGCAATACACTGATGCAGTGACACGACACGTGCACTTTGACCCCTCAAGGGAGTAATAGGTCCGCATTGTTCCATGCGTGGCACGTGTCTATTGGTTGAATGCGTTTATTGGTGATGGAAGAACACAATGTTTGTTTCTTTGTGTGTTTATTTATTTATTTGTTTGTTTGTTTGTTTAACGCATCTTCCCTAGGCAAGAGAGTTAACTGACTTTAAAAGTCCAGTTTCCACCCTTGCCGAACTGTAAGGTTCGAGGGGGTCGCGGGTGGCCCAGTCGTCTAAGGCGCCGCGATTCGCGGTACAGAGTTGCGTCCCTTGGACACGCCAGAAACATATGATTGTGAGTTCGAATCCCGGTTCGCCACGATTATGTTTCTAGGTTTGTCAGCACTGTACCCGTGCTCGTGGGTTTCACCGAAGTGGTGAACGTCCGAGACCTGCATCACTTCGGGCTTTCCTCCCACATCAAGCTGACACGCCGTGATATAACTGGAATACTGTTAAAAGCGGCGTTAAACACAACTCACTCACTCACTTTATGGTTTGAGGTAGCCTGACGCCCCCTGGTACACGGGATCATGAACGGGGTACATCACACCACGTGCCCCTAGATCTATTGACAACTTATATTGTACATATGTGACCAAAAGAAAATCGTTCACAGCAAGACGAAATTCAGAAATTGGATTAATTGCGATAGAAGAACTTCACGACACAGGTGAGCTTCAGTACCGTCTACCCACAAATCTCTTACCATTTCGTCCTGTTCAATATACATGTGGAATTTAGATAACGGTTATGTTTGTCAGCAACGCCGCTAGCCAAGTGATTGGACAACCCGATGTCTACCCCGTCTACGGTCACGACGTCAAAGCATGGGGACAGTCCGATATAAACTATTATAGACACAACCAATATGTGAAGGTGAGTGGCCCAACAACAAAGATGAGTGGATGGGTGGGTGAATGAGTGAGTGGATGGGTGAGTGAGTGAGTAGATGGGTGAGTGAGTGAGTGAGTATTTCACTTAAATCATGGTGTGTCACCTTCAAGTGGCAGGACAAGATCTTTGAGTAAATGCAGTGAAGCATGACAAGATCGTTTATTAGCAGGGTCCTGTGAAACAACAGGGCCAAAACAAACGATTTTGCTTTGTCTAGATATGTGAAATGTCTACGATATCTAAGAATTGTGCTTTGAAGGGTGTTAATGGAAAGCTATGCCATATTGATGAGTGAGTGAGTGAGTTTGGTTTAACGCCGCTTTTTAACACTGTCAGTATTCCAGTTATATCGCGGCGTGTCAGCTTAATATGGGAGGAAAGCCCGAGGTGATGCAGGTCTCAGATGTTTACCACTTTGATGAAACCTACGAGCACGCCTTAGACGACTGGGCCACCCGTGCCCCCCCCCCCCCCCCCCCCCCCCCCCCCCCCCCCCCCCTCCCATATTGATGAAGTTGTAGAGAGTCATCATTCAGGTCGCACTTGTTTCCAGTTGCAGTACGCCATGAAACTCTTCATCTCGGAAGTGCACGTGTACGAGACGTACCGCGCTGGCGCAACGTTTAGGGTGGAGCTCCTGGCGCCTTCTGGGGTATATGTTGATATGTATAGGGCGACCTATTTATCCCGTCTCTCTTCAGTTCGAATCTTCAAAGTCATTCTAACAAATGTAAGAACTCATTCGCACTCTTTCTCCGAGTCTTTATTATCATCATTTTCTCTCGATATTGTAACATGCTAAAGTGAAAATATTTATAGAAGTTAAATTTTATATAAATATATATGTAATGATATAACGTTTGTAACGTCTTAAAGTGATTGAGGGAGTGAACGAGTATGGTTTTAAGCCTCTTTTAGTAATATTGTACCCATGTGAGGAATCGAAGCAAACGCTTTAACCATTAGGTCATAACGATAAATACAACCCCTTAATGAAACGTTAATAGATACACCTGGGGGAAACATAGAAAAACGCAATTGCCGATCGCACCCAAAAAGTGGAGAAAAGGTACAGATAATCGACGTGGCAATTGTGAGAATATCTAGGAAATACTTGTTTGACATTGCCGAGGTCGGATTGTATTCTATCGTCATTGGTCCCTGATTAGTCTTTGATTTATTTTTTGTTTTTATTTGTTATATTTTCACATAATCAATACCTGGTCTTTCAGCCTGCAAGCTTCACGTCTGACGTCATCCGAATATGGGTGGATCCGTATTTCGCCTATGGGGCTACAGAAATAGACGCTGTCAAAGTTGTAGGAATGACCGATCCCAGTTCGCGATAAACAAACTTTCCCGACATGCAATACAAGACTTGTCTGGATGGTAATTGTGAACAAACTAGAGTATAGGCCACAGTCTTTTTTTGTCTTTTTTCTTTTTTCTTTTTTTTTTATATTATTTATTCATGTTAATTGTCCACGATTTTACATGGCCCTGTACATTGCCACGTGGACTGGCACACCAGGGTTTATATTTTTATATTTGGGTTTGAGTTGCTTAAAGCAATAATACTCATCTAATTATTCAGTACACATTTAATTTTTTCTGCAAGATTAACATTGTTATACTGTAGCACTTTGTATTGTATTTCTAGTTCTCTTTTAAATATTCTAAAAAGGCAGTCGGCTTCAGTTACTTTACATCTGTACACAATATACTTTGCTAGCAGTAGTAAATAATTCATCAAAGTACACTCCTCTGTGCCTCCTTCTATACCATACAATACAGTATCTCTGTAATTATCATGAATCTGATTATGTACATTAACCTTCGCCCACTTAAATAATTCTATCCAAAAGGGAAATACATTTGAACAGTAAAACATGTAATGTCTAACAGTATCTATACTACCACAATGTTCACATACATTACTTTCTTTAATGTTAATTCTGTTTAAATACTGATTACAAGGAATGATTGAGTGTAGAATTTTGAATTGCAGATGCTTATACTTGTTTCCAATTCTCATGTCCTAAAAACATCTTCATAAGCAGCTTGGAAAACATTATAGATTGTATTATACCAAAATTTACTTTTACAAGGTGTGTCAGCATGTCTGAATCCTTGAACTTCAGGATGTGGTTTAAGTTCTATAGGACCCGCGTTTTGGAAACTAAACATGTTCTACCATATTGCCTTCCTAACAGCATTGCATGGGCGGATACAGCTTTTTTTAAAAGGGGGGGTGGGGGAGGGGGTGGCGGGTGCACAATTGAGAAGCTAAGAAACCATTTAAAACAGTTAGGACTGAGAAACCGTGTACTCTCTTGTTATAGTTTATGATTATGATCTTATGATCTGTTTAACCAATGCTGCATCACGAAATCCCTGTGCAACACACACACACACACACACACACACACACACACACACACACACACACACACACACACACACACACACACACACACACACACACACACACACACACACACACACACACACACACACACACACTGTTCTGTGCATCGTGAGCCTGATTCCACCCGACTCATCTAAGGTACGTCACTCGTTAAATTTAAACTTAAGCTTCGTAACCACCACCTCACCCCCACCATTCTGTATCTTGACACTGTATCTAGCAAATTTATTTATTGAATAGTTTTCTAAAACAAATATTTCTGCTTATGTCATCATTTTTCATAAACCTGTTTATCACGAGTCAAACTGACGTACTATTCCTGTCAGTACATGTGCACATCGGGTGACTGAACGACTTGGAGAGCCGTGTTAGTAGAGAAATGTGTAATTGATAGATTTAGCAGCATCTCTTATTGATTTAACTATAGATTAATAGCCTTTAATGTTTTCTTCAAGTTTGTTTTGTCGTTTTGATAACTTGAATATAATGTATTGTGTGTATGTAATTTAGTATTTATCATTAATAATCACGGACAAACATTTAAATATTTTCCTTGTACAGTTGCATGTATTTGTAAGTGAAGGTGAGATCAGGTGGGATGGAGTTTTACATCGCGTTCAAGATTATTGCACTTATATTTATGTAGAGGCTTGCATGCACGTGAGTTACTGCTTGTACTAGTCCGGACTAATTTATAGTGCAGGACAAACGATGAACCATGTCTCAGTTTAACATGGATACTCCACTCGGACACATGAAACTGACTCTGAACCGACCAGTCCTTGTTTTAGCCCCTAAATTTCAGTAATTGTATTCCTGTAATGTTATGTTCTATGGGCCTGTGGCCTCTAACTTGAAATAAAGGTGTTGCTGATGATCCTCGCAATGCCGAGTGCAAGGCAGGGTATTTACAACAAGAGCTATCTTTTAACGTCGTTTGTATGAGGGTCATGATCCGAGGATCGAACACCGAGCCACGCTATCAGGACAGACGTTCTGTCAACAAAAATACGATTCTGCAAATGAAGGGGTAGAGGCAGATATTCTTTGTATTTTTGTAGTATCACAAAACATGTAATCTATTTGATGTATAGACATTACGCCAAGTTCATTTTATCAATAAAACTTGATTCGTTGACTCCACTCTTTTAATCATATTCATTGTTTGGAAAACTATGTAATTTCTGACATGCAAAAAATTAAAATGCACCTCCGCAAGTAAACAAGTTCTGATGCATGAGAAGAAATACGTGTTGCTGCAGATGCAGGCGGTGGTGCGGATGACCAATTTCGCTGGTGTAGCATCACAGAACGTTTTTCAAGTATATAGTCATTACGTCAAGTATATTTCTTTCATCACAAAACATTATTGATTCTACAAGTTCTCTCTTTTCATCACTGTTTGGAAACAACCTATGTGAAATAGCCTATGACAAATAGTGCGAGCTGCAGATGTCCCATGTATTGTAAGGAGTAACCCTATTGTGTAGTGCTGGATCATGTTGAGAAGCACCTGGTCTCTGCACTACTGGGGTTAGCCTTCACTTTCGTCTACGCCATGCAAGACGAGGAAATGAAGTATTGACAAATGAAGGTACGGGTAGTCAAGTGCAGCAGAAGGTTCAACAGACCATGGGTTCGAATCCCAGATTCCCCGTTGATGACCCGACAGGTTAAGTCCATGTCGTAGGCTTTTTGAATGTCGTGAACATATACTAAAGTACTCACGGAAATGAAAAAAACCTGTTTTTTCGACCTCAGATCTTAAATAAATGCAGTTAATATACAACATATGTAAATATTCGAACAACACAATAAGTACTAATTGGGCCTTGGCACAAATACAGCGTATCAAAGGTTTTTATGCCTTTTTACAAGTAAAAGAGTGTAAAAATGTGAATAAAACAGAGTATTGTGAAACAGCGCATAACCAGGTGTAAGTAGATCAAGTTGAATGTCCATGACCTATGACACCTTGACGACAGGTGAGAACAGGTGCATAATGCATATAGCATGTTTCTGCTGTGTCAATTTGGACTTAGTTTTATTTTTGAATGTTGAAAGTGCCGACAAATTACCTCCTGTAAAGTAAATTTTGTATTGTTCACTGAGATCAAACTAGCAAATCCAGACTAGTACTTTTCGAGTTGGTTTGTTATTTCGTATTTACAGCGACGTAACACTTTGTGTCGAGTTTTAAATTGAGTTTTAAATTTTAGTATGTTATATATTTCCCTCCCTTTTCGTTGAAACGCCGTGAAATACTTTTGAATATACAGTTCAAAGTGGCGTCAAACCAATCTCGCTTTTCATATTGATTAGGGGCGGCGGGTAGCCTATTGGTTAAGCGTTTGCTCGTCACGCCGAAGACCGGGTTCGATTCCCCACATGGCTACAATGTTTAAAGCCCATTTCCAATGACCCCGTGACATTGCTGGAATATTGCTTAAAGCGGCGAAAAAACATACTCATTCACTCACTGACTCATATCGATTTGGCTATTGGTAAACGCTCTTGATACCACAGTGCAAGTGTAGTCATTTTTAAATTTTTCGTCATTGAAGTGTGTCTGTTTCCATATCATGTTGACAAACCGTTGACCTCTGAATTAGAGGTGGACACAGGTAGCCCAGTCGTTTAAGAAATGAATCCAACTCGAACTCGGGATGATAGGGCAAGATCGCCTCAGTTCTAAGAATTAGAGACCCATGACGACACGTGATATAATAGGTCTTCAGCAACCCATGCTTGCCGTAAAAGGCGATTATGCTTGTTGTAAGAGCCGACTAACGGGATCGGTTGGTCAGGCTCGCTGACTTGATTGATGCATGTCATCGGATCCAAATTGCGTGGATCGATGCTCATGATGTCAATCACTAGATTGTCTGGTCCAGACGGGATTGTTAACAGACCGCCGTCATATAATCTGGAATATTGTGAATGCAGCGTTAAACAACCCACAAACAAACAAGTATTAGGAATTAAGTGTTTTTCGAGGATCCATTCATATTTTTATATTTTATAGACGTAGTTTTTTAAATAAGATAACTTTATTTCTTGGGCTAAATGTCAGGCTAGCCTTGAACTTGAATGGGAGTGGAAGCGAAGCAAACCCCTTCGCTTTTTTGTGTACAGATACTCCGTTCTGAACTTAACATGATAACAGATAAAGCTCGACCAGCTGATTTTGCAATCTATTTTGTAATTACATTCTATTCTAAAACCAATTAACCGACAAAGCTAGGTGTTTGTCCATTGGAGAATAAAGTATATTGGTGCAAGACCATTTAAAAACAAAATCAGAAACGTCATGTTTATCAATTACAAGGACAATTTTCGTCTTTCTACAATGTTTAGCTAGTTTCCATTTTGTAAATCAATTTGTAAACATTTTCTGCGGTGAGTGGTCGCCAGGTGCAATGTACATTTTGTTTTCCACTCGGATACCACATAAAAAATTGAATCTCATTCCTTGATGAAACAGAGCATAAAGTGTTGGTTATAATACTCATCCTTGTTTTTCACCAGTGCTCACACTAAACCATTCAGTGAAGCAATAATCATAATGTATAGCAATGAGAAAATATGTAAGATATCCTAAATATAATGTTCGCTTGTTGTGTGACGCCGCACCCAGCAATACATGACGATAGTCTACATATAATCAAGTCTGGACCACACAATCCAGTGATCGATATCATGAGCATCGTTTCACGCAATTGGGATTAGACAAGCATAGCATGTGCTACTGATGACTAATACACACCCGGATCTTCTTGGCTCTTTTGCCTTGTAAACTTCCTCATAAATAGAAATTCTCACAATGTGCCAAAGAATATTTCAGCTCTCTAATGATCTGGAATGAGTGATAGGTTGTGCTTTAAATTCTTTTCATAAAAATACTCAAGCAATATGTCCTGGTAATGATTGGAGGATTTATACCTGTTTCCTGTTATATGCCTGTCAAACTGAAAGTCTGCTGTTTTTGAAATAAACTTATTCCCCACTGAGAAACACCTGCTATTTCTTTGTTCTTTTGAAGAAGTAGGAATTTAATGGATGAAGGATGACACAAAGTCAGCCAAGTGACACATTGTAATCACCCGATAGCTATTAGCAGGCACAGAAGACTAGTCTAGTTCCCCAAAGGTGTGTGTGTGCGTGTTGTGTACGTTTTGTGTGTGTGTTGTGTGTTGTGTGTGTGAGTGTGTGTGCGTGTGAGTGCATGTTGTGTGTGTGTTGTGTGTGTGTGCGTGCGTGCGTGTGTGTGTGTGTGTGTGTGTGAGAAAGTGTGTGTGTGTGTGTGTTTGAAAGTGTCTGTGTGTGTTAGTGTTAGTGTTAGTGTTAGTGTTAGTGTGTTAGTGTTAGTGTGTTAGTGTTAGTGTGTGTGTGTGTGTGTTAGTGTGTTAGTGTGTGTGTGTGTGTGTGTGTGTGTGTGTGTGTGTGTGTGTGTGTGTGTGTGTGTGTGTGTGTGTGTGTGTGTGTGTGTGTGTGTGTGTGTGAAAGTGTGTGTGTGTGTGTGAAAGTGTGTGTGTGTGAAAGTGTGTGAAAGTGTGTGAAAGTGTGTGTCGGGGGAGGGGGGTCATACATCTTTACATGTTTTTGTATCATCTCATCTTCATCGTGCTGAAGAATTCCAATCATCACGGAAGCTTTATTGTGATAATTATAAGCAACACAAGAATCACTTTATTTCATTGATACTATATGTATTCTACTCCATCATCGGAGTTAAAACCTGATGCAAGGTGGTAGGCTGGAGCCACGGCTGTACAAGCTGAACTGCTTGTTCTCAGG